GATCTCCCACTGGCCGCACCTGACAGAGCTTGCAACAGGGGCACAAAAACCTGCATCTCTCATTCTGAGCAGCGCAGCATGAAAGTAGAGAGCGGCGGAGTAGTAGCGTCGCCCCTCACCGCCAGCCTCCACAGGATCAAAGTCAAGGAGGAGGACAACGTAGCCGAGGAGGCGTCGGTGAACGCCAGGAGGGATCGATTGCTGAAATCGGCACTGTCGATAGCAAATAAGACCGGGGGTTCATCGTCCTCGGCGCCGACGAGCGTTCGCGGGGGCACGTTCGGAGCCATCGCCACGATTACGATAAGCAGCGGGAGTGCCGTGACCGGTGGTGGCTGCGCACCAGCTAGCGATCTAGCTGCCGCGGCCGCTGCCGTAGTTGCCGGCAAACGACCTCGAGGTGACCATGACGACGACCATGCCCTGCCCGTCGATCTCGACACCAAGACCATGAACAGGGGTGAGTCGAGCAGGGTGCTTTCGAAGAAAAATAAAAAAAAAACAAGGGGGTTGCCAAATAACTCATTTCAAGGGTGTGAACTATTATGGTGTTCCATCACATTCGGGCTTTAAATTGTTGCTTCAAACGCGTACAATTTACACGCCCAACGTTACTTTAAGACCTTAGGATTTTACATTGGGTTTAATATAAATATTTCAACCGTACAATCGGTATTGGACGAAATGGTGATCGATGATTATTTCCTCCCCCCCCCCCTCAATTGCTTTGATACATTGAAATTGAAAATATATCTTGTCTTATTATATTGATGACCGACAGTGTCATGGTATTGTCATACATTAAATTGGGAACAAAAATTATTTACGTGTTAGTTAAATCATTTATTTTAATTAAAAACTGTTAACAATAATTTTGACGATCACTGCGTGGATAAACAACGTGAAAAATAGTGATACCCAGTAGAAAAGGCATGAGCACTCGCGTTGGTATTTCGGGAGTTAAAAAGAGTAAGAAAAAAAAAAAAAAAAAGAGAACCGGTACAAAAGCGGGCGTCTTTTCAACGACAGACTTTTTTCGGGAAACGCGCGTCCATCGTTGCCGAACGAAATATCGCGTATACACATACGCCCATATAGAGATATAAGGATATCCTTATATCTTTTTTTTAATTTTTTTATTTATTATAGTGCTTTACGTCCAGCTCCTATAAAGGGCACTACTGAGGGCACTTAGCACTTTGGAGAAGGAAGGGATGAGGGGATGGGAGGCCTCACAATACTGCGAGGGGGGTAGGGGGAAATTAGGCAATTTTTGCTGCGAGAAGGTCGCCTAAACCCTCCTCGAGGAGCATTGCGTGGTGAAAAATCACGGAGGTACTTGCCCGACAATGTCGCACTGGCCGGGAATCGAACCACGGTCTCCCGCGTGCCATCCTTATATCTCTATATGCATACGCCATGTGGGTGCCCGCATGGCCTCCCGCGCGCTGCTCTCGGGCTCCCCCCCCCTCTCTCACTATATATATATATATGTACTTCCCATCCTGACATTATTATTTCGCTGAGCTCTGTCGCGCGCCCGAGCTTTATCTACAAGAGCCCGCAGGTGGTTCTCCAATACGCATACATGTATATAATGTAATACATGTACATAATATACACTCGGCGCGAACGTGTGCGGGACGCGTTTTGCCGCCCGCACGTTGAACAACCTCTGTTTTCCTTCTCAAGTTTTTTGTGCCTGCTTATTCTCTTTTAAACTCGTACTCCGTATTATACATGTGCAAACCGGCATGCTTTTGCTACGGATTCTTTTGGACCGGACTCGGTGGTTTTTTTTTTTTTTTTGTTTTTTTTCAATGCCCGGGGTGAACGTGGGCGGTGAGTTTTGGCTGCATGGAACCTGCAGTGAAAGATGTCCATATATGTACAGGAGATACGAAAAATTTGTTTGTCCAAATAACATGTTAGGTAAAAATCATATAATCGAGCAGTTGATGTGTTATTGCGACCAAAGTTTCATCTCTTTCTTACCTACCATAAACCCTTCGAATTTACGGAAAAAGTGCCCCTTGTTTAATGGCAGGTAAAATAGCTTGGCCACAAACGTTTTCTGCAAGCCCTTCCCATCGATAATTTGTACTTTGCCAAAGATCTTACATTCGTGCAAATTCATCGAACGGCGTTGAACACGGAATGAGGGGAAAAAAAGAGCAAAGGGCACGCAAATCCTGGAAACGATCCAAATGCAGGGCGTCCCGGCGCATTACAACACGTATAATCGGCTTAGCGGTTCGTGTACACGTTGCCTACATATATATAAGACACGCAAGCACACTGCGCCAAAAGAAACGAAAATGAGGAAAAATTTGTACATCGAGAAAATAGAAGAAGAAAAAGAATGAAAAAATCACCTACGCCCATCGCTTCGCTTAAAAATACTCCCCCTGATCCCTCCAAAAGCTCTCTCTTTACCGCCAAGCTCGCCAACTCATGTACATATATACACACGCATGCACGTAATCACTGCACGCAGCCACGTGACAAGTCAGCTCGGCGTCATCGTCTCCCTCGTGGCAGCGCGTGGTGGCGGTGGCGTGCGACGTACCTATAACATTCCCTTCCACCTCCCCTAAAGTAGGTATATAGCTTTCCGTGTACACCGAAGAGCTTGCGCCTGGCACGGACGTGATAAGACACGTCCGACACTTTCCGGGGCCTCTCTGCCTCCTTCTCACCCCCACCCCCCCCCCCCTACATATACTGTCCTCACTCTTCTGCTCTGCTCCTCTGTGTGTGTGTGTGTGCTTTCGCTGATATCGCTGCTTTCCAAACCTCCCCCTGCATCTACCTACCACTCCGAGAAGGAAAGGGGAACGGGGTGGTATCCGCACCGGGATGAGACTCTTCTTCTCATTCGTTTGTAAAAATGTGTAAGGGGGGCGAGGTTTGACATTCCTTTTTTTTTTTTTTTTTTTTTTTCTCTCACAACGCCCCCTATACAGTAAGTTGGTGGGATGAGAAATGGATATTTAATGATTTTTTTTTTTTTTTTTCAATGTACGTTTTACGTTGAAGGCATACGGTAAGAAGATCACAGAATTTATACACGATGATCGGCAAAAACGATCGGGAAATCGGTAGCAATTGCGAGCTTACGCGACCAGAGTTTAATTCTTTNGCTGTGAGTATTTTTTTTTTTTTTTTTTTTTTTTTTTTTTTTTTTTTTTTTTTTTTTTTTTTGTCTGGAGGGGGCTGTTTGGGTTTTATCTCGTGCCCCGCAACACGACTTAATTCGCAGACGGGACATTTCTACGTGGCAGGGCTTATACTATTCCACCCCCTTTGATCGAGGTTCAGATCTCAGCCTCAAGCTCAATCCACCGGATGTATCGTTGTTTGAGTCATCGGTGCTTTTTTTTTTTTGTGTTTAATGTGTGGTTTGAAAAAAAATTTGCAAATCCTCCTCTTGCTCCAAAAATGCCAGAGAAAAAGACAAACCTCAGAACCAATGCGCATCGCGATTATTAAACCCGTTGAAAACGGAAAGGAAAGGAAAGGGAAAAAAAAAAAAAAAAAAAAAAAAAAAAAGCGTTCCCGATATATAAACAATGGGATTCCCCCGAACGAGCCGAGGGAGAGAGGAGGTTATATATATATATGACGTAGGGGGAAGCGGGCATTTTTCCATCGGCGACTTTTCAATTTAAAGTTTTCGTTTATTAAAATCATCCGCAGCCTTCGCTCGGCCCTCCCACACTCCGCCGGGGCTGTGTCTCACGCTCGCAGGGAGCCCCTTTGGAATTCCCTCTCTTTTCCGATTCCTTCCGGACGGAAGATTGACTCGAACTCTCCAGCCCAGCCTGTGTACGTGTGTAGGTACGTCCACGTGCGCGAGTGTGGGAACGAGCCGGGGCTGGAGGAAGGAAGGAAGGAAGGAAGCTGTGCAGGCGGCGAGAGAATAACAGAAGGGAAAGAGAGAGAGAGAGAGAGAGAGAAGACGGAAGCTCTGCTGCGAAAGAAGGGCGAGCAAGTGGGAGGGGGTGGGCTTGCGATCAAAGCCATCTGTTGCATTGTCCCGGCAATTAGGAGGCGACAGCTGAGTCCCAGCTTATACATACATATATATATATTTACAGCTTCCTCTGTCGGCAGTGGCTCTCAATTCCGCGCGGAGCTTGCAAGCTCGCGCGTTCGACCAATTTTTCGTTCAAATGCCCGGTATCTTATTGAATTTGATTATCAATGAGGATTCCGGGTGTGTGTTTTTGAGACTGCTCGAGACGTAGTTGGACCTTTTTCCCCTTTTTTTTTATTGAAATGCCGATGAAATGAGATATAATGTAATGCTAATTGGAACGAAAGGCTTCGGGAGGTGGATTTGCAATTTAAATCTTATCCATAATTTAATCGATATTTTATCGAGATGCAGGATACTGCAGATTAAGTAATTCGCTTTCTCGTTGGCACATCGTCCTATGAGTGAGTTTTGGATTTTGTTCCTCTTAGAAAGTGTAAAACACTGGGATCTTTTATTGTTACATATTATTTCTTATCTTATAACTTTACGGGCGAGTTTCGGTTCAGGTTAATTTATGGTACAAAATCATTCACAGCTGTAATTTATGATATAAAATGTCGGACTGCTATTAAATTTTCGGTAAAATGAGTAATTCGTGCTTCAAGGATTTAAAATAACCGTATGGTTAATAAAAGTTGGACGTTATCGACAACAATGATTCGTCATTCTAGTGGTTTAGATGTGTTTAATTCACGTATACTTTATTCTAGTAAAAAATATTGCAAACTAGTTGTTAACTATACACTGTCTCGTTTCGATTGAAATTCAAACATTAGCGCGCTTTTCAACAGCAGCGCTCATTTTGCTCGAGGGAGAGAATGCTGTCGGCATGACGCAGAGAGACGCGCCTCGACGACGAGCTGTTTACTTTTGCAGTTTCAGGCAGTTTGCGTTTTCGTTATCAGGAGAGTTGATAGGTTAGGGTTGGGTTGGAACCAATACAAGATATTGACTTGTTTCTTTATCGGTTTTCTACTCATTATAAATTTGAATCCATCGAAACAGCTGTTCCAACTCCAACGATGCGTACAATTAAATAGAACCGTGTCGATGGCTTGACCTGCAGCTTCTCCGGGCTCTGCACTGCAGTTGCCGAACGGAGTATCCCCAAGGTAAGAATATCAATTAATTAACGTATTTATTTTGTACGCCACCCTCGTACATGCATGTATAACTCCTTTGTCTAACAAGAAAACTCGATGCCAAGCTCTCCTGCTAATTTATTTATTATGTAAATGGGTTTGCTTAACAATGTTACGCTTGTTTCATTCTGCCCGTCTGTTGTTTCGTGTAGGGATTAGCCGTTGTCGCAATAACAGTTATACCTTGTCTGGTTTTTCTGATGTGTATACATATATGTAGGTATACAAAAAACAACTGCACAGCAGAAAAACCAGACAAGGTAACTGCAAGCTCTTGGTGAACAGATACAACTTTTTTCATCTGACACTTAAAACTTAGAGACGAGATTGATTTATCCTTTTATTCTTCACTTGTTGCGGTTGCATGAACATTACAAATGATGCTTTAATGTTTCAACGCACGGTTACTTGAAAATTTCAATAATTATACCAACTACTCAAACAAATTGTTATTTTCAGAAATTCGAACCAGAAGAAAAAAAATGAAGTCCAGTACTGGTGGTAGAAGACTTCGGTTATGCATCTATAAATGTAAATACTGTGCAAATTCATATGATTGCCAGAATGAATTGGATGCCCACTTAGAAACACTACATGCCCACGAACGGCTTTGTATATGCCAACTTTGCAACGAGTGTTTCACCACGGAATCTGATTTAAGTCTTCACTACCACAAACACTTTGACGAGTGTCGCTACAAGTGTGATAACTGCGAATCAGCTTTTGCTAGAAAATCTTTAATAATAAAACACATCCGTGCTAATCACGGCATAGATAGTAATAGATGCGAGACGTGTGGAAAGTTTTTCTCTACAAAGAGCTCTCTTGATTCCCACAAAGTCATCCACACTGGCCTACTTAATATCTACAAATGCGATAAATGTGACAAGTCTTATTACAAAAAAAGATCTCTAGCTAGACACGCGTGTAAAGTAATTAATGATGCGCAACATCAATGTGAATTTTGTAATAAAAGCTTTTCCGCAAAAAAATCTTTAACAAGGCATTTACAAAGACATGCTGCCACGCGTCGCTACACTTGCGATTATTGTGGAAAGTCTTTTGTTGATAAAAGCGATCATCGCCGTCATATACGCATACACACTGGCGAGCGTCCCCACAAGTGTAATTATTGTTATAAAACTTTTATTCGAAAACATCATCTTAGAATGCACCAGCTTATACATACCAAACGTGAGACACAGTCTTCCTACATGTGTTCAAACTGTGGCAGTGTTTTTGAATTCCTATATTCTCTAGATATGCACAAATGTCCTCTCAGTATTAACAAGGATGAAATTACTGAGGAAAGTACTGTGAAGGAAAATGTGGCTGTTGTCGATGTTATTGGCAATGAAGTGGTTGCTGAAGGAGATACTGGCAAGCAACTGGTCACTGTGGAAATTATTACCGAGGAAAAATTTATGAACGATGTACTTTTCCTTCAACAACCAACAACCATAGATGAAACATACGTGCACATAATTGAGGGTATTCCCATAAGTGATGAGTGTACCAAAAAACTTACGCAATGTAACATACGTCTGAATAATGTGTGTATACACCCACGTTCCTAAAAATACCAGGACTGTAAAAATTCATGTTAAAAAAGACGTATTACATGATTTTTTATCTCATTTTGACGAACGTTTTTGTTGCATTTCTGTAGCTAATGAAAGAGCTTATGTAAGTATGTACATGTACATATTTGAAATACTTTCATTTTGCACACATTGATACAAATTTATTTTATATTCTTTATTAATTTAAAAATGTTTATGGTAGTTATAACCCATATCGTGGGTATAGTAATTTTTTGTCTGCTTTCTTGAATAAAAAAGATTATTGATACATGCTTTTGTCAAATTGTTATTTTTTGTTTCATGACATTATACCAAAATATCACTATGATATTTATTAAACAAAAATCTTCTGTCATACTAATAACAACTTGATAAGTAAAAAGGTGGGCAAGTAAAGTACTTATCAGTTGAAATTAAAATCCTCAAATAAATAGTCATTGTTACAACATAAATATAAGATATTAGAAACAAATACATCTAGTGTTGTTCCTTTCGTGCCCATACTGATATACATATATACAATACGTAAGATGTATTGTAGTGCATACAACATTCAAAGGCGGAAATAAAAACAACAGCTGGCCGAGAGAAGACGTCATCGGTGCCAGTATGAATGGCACTGGAACCCTATTTCCGTCACCTCAGCCCGGATATGATGTATTCGCTATTATGACATGAATATATTTTACAATAAGGGGGCACATTAAGTCTTTATTTTTTGGTAAAAAAAAAAAAAAAAAAAAAAAAGTGGTCGCTGGAAACTGTATAAGTTTGGATCGTTTGATTGCTGAGATTTCCAAAAATTGGCATTTGTAAGCGTTGATAAATTAATTTCCAAACCTTGAAAGACAACCCGAGATTTTTGAAAACACTTACCGATCTTTCATCAATTTTACAGATATATTTTTATACGCACAAATTGTAATTGTTGCTACCGCGTGTCTTCACGAGTTTTACGTGACTAAAAAAAAAAGAGCCCCTCTATTTTTAGTCACGAGATAATATGGCACTAAAATTATATTTACCCTTGTCGGAGAGACGTGCCATCGATTTCCTGTAAACGCAACGATAAATAAAAAAAAATACGGAGCCAATCATCAAAGGCCAAAGTATAAACTTAACGTGAATTTTATGAACCAAGAAAGAAAGAAGAAGAAAAAAATCCTCATCCGCCGTCTTAAAGACCATCAAGTCAAGGTGGTTGTTACAGCCGAGTGAAGACTGAAGTAGACAGGTCGGCTCGAAAAGGTGCGCGGAAAAGCTGCGACGCGGCGTCGATCGAGCGTGCAGGCAACGATGGCCTTTCCTCTCTCTCTCTCTCTCTCTCTTTATCTACAGCTTTCCCAACAAGTATATATACCATACACCTATGTGTATAGGCAAAGTTCGGGGGTAATTACCTGCTAGAGCCAGGTGGCAGCGACAACAGCCCCCTCCCCCGCTCCTTCTCGTCGCCTCCTGCCTCTGGCACACGCTCCCTCTCTTTAGGTGTATATACATATATATTCACTCGGTTTCAACTCTCGGCACGTCTCCTGAGGGGGTGGCCAACCCCCCCCCCTTTGCCCTCTATCCGCTCTATTCACTCACCGCACCGCGAGCTCGTGGGATACCTATATATGTATAGTTTTTTCCTTTTCTTTTTATTTTATTTCACTGTTCCCACTACCTCTCACATCCTCCTCCTCCTACTCCTGACTACATGTGTGTGTACCAGGATGTTTTTGTCCTCAGCCGTTTACGTGAGAATTACACGCGGATGCGATTATGGCTATGGGTGCAGCTGAGGTTTTATTTTTGAAAATACTCTTGTAGGGATGTGTAGGGTAGCAAAAAAAAAAAAATATCGGAAAGGACTGCAATTATATTTTTAAAAACGTACACCAACAGACCTATAAACATGTCTTCTCAATAGAACGTTGAATTTCCATTTTAATGACATGCAATCGCCTACCGATTTCATTACAAAATGGTGGGGGGATCGAAACTTTGGGACAAATAAGAAAAAGTCCCTCGCACGATCATTCCTTCCTGTATCTTACACATTGTGTACCTTTGACTGCAGAAATCGGATGCGATATTATCAATCGCTCGCGGCGTTTACGCGGTGTATCACCGATGGCGTATGCGTTTCTCCCGGCAAACAAGCGTAGCTGTTCGGTTGCCCCCCCCCCCTCCGACAACAACCACCCACAATTGCCATTATACATATATAAACACGGTTAAAGGGGGTGGGGAGGGAGTGGGCGCCGACGTTATCAGCGTGTCTACTCCAGCTCTCCTCATTGTTTCCCGCTCAGATCCACACTGGCTCCCCCTCCCCCCTTCTTCATTGTACACCGGAAGCAGCGTTTGCGGGAGATAACGCGTGTGCTCCTGTTATTTTCCAAATTGAAATTTTCCTCGGTTTTCACATTCCTCTTTCTCTCTTTTTGTAGCTACGAGCTGAAAAATTTTTATCCCGCCAATCAATCTTATGCTCTCGGTGGAAATCGCGAATTGCCATTTTGTGACATTTCACAAAAACCACGCTGGTATAATCAGGTACTGCGAATTTCTTCGAAAATCACCGTGCTCCGTTGTCTAACGGAAAAGCAACTGCTGTCGTTCCCTTTTTCAGGCGCACATAACAATGCAAGCTCTTTTCCCACTCTACCCGGGGCGAGCAGCTTTTGTGTATTTGAGCTTCACCAAAGTGCCTGTGATGGGACAAAAAATACATTAATAGCACACTAGCTATGACTTAAAAAAAAAAAACGCTAGAGTTTTGTGATCGAGCAAGTGCGACCTGTTGATTTTCAGGACCACCGTCGTCGTCGCAACCCCGCGACCGAGTCCAAGTCAACGAGCCGAACGGCGTCGACAGCCGAGGCTGCTCCCCGTCTCCATCGGCCTCGCCGAGTTCGGTGCAGCCAAAGCCATCGAGTGCCCCGAGTACGGAGTGCGAGGAGTCCAGCATGACCCTGTGCTCGCTCAAGACCGAGGCCCCGGACGACGGGCCGAGCCAACAGCGCCAGGAAGAGCCCAACGGCACCGCGAGATGCATCTCCGGGGTGTTTGCGGCACACGGCAAGCTCAGGCGGCTCCTCGGCACCCTCGTTCAATTCGCCATGGACATGTCCCCGGAGGTCGGCGACAGCGTCCGCAGTCTGGTCCTCGGCTTGCTGGTGGGTGTCGTACAGGGACATTATATTCCCTCCTCTGTCTATTTATGTAATCGTACATGTTTTTTTTTTTTTTTTTTTTTTTTTTCTCAGAGCGGCTCCATGTCCGCGGAAGAGTTTCACTCGGCCCTGCAGGACGCGACGAATTTCCCGCTGCGGGGCTTCGTCCTGCCGTACCTTAAGCACTGCCTGCCGTCGTTACAGCGGGACTTGAACGCAGCTGCCCGGGCGGACAATCAGGTGAGTGTCCATACATTATGTTGGCATAAAAAAGAGTTGACCTTTTTTTCCTTTACGGTAGCGTCATCGGATGGTTTTTTTTTTTTTTTTTCGATTGGACCGAAAAACCTTTCTCACGCCTGCCCAATCGGCTCGGTAATCCCATCTCGCACGAATCCTCATCCGATTCCGCAAGCGCGTCACCGTGTATATGCAAAAAGAAAACAAACAAAACCACCACCACCGCCCATGTAGCACGTGCGAAAAATCCAATCGCCCTGGCGTGATATCGTTGCATGTTATGCTCGACGCGACGCGAGAGCGGAAAATCCAAAATCGTTGTCATGTGCACGTACCTGGTACCTATTGTATTCTATACACACGTTGTGTTGCATCGAGCCGATTTTCCCTCGTCCGATGTATCGTTTTACACACAACTAACGGAGATGCCACACGCGTACACGCGAGCCGATGCTCTCTCGCTATAAATCTGTATCTACAAACTCTCCGATTCTATAATCTACTGCCACCACCTGACCGCTACACCCGTTGTCACACACACGTAGCGGTGGTCGAACGTGCATACACGTACAAGGGATGGGCTCTCGTTAATCGCTGCCTGTACGCGTGAACGTGCCCGCGCGTAAATGGCCCCTTCCCTTCTCCCACGAGTTTATACATCCACTACATGTGCCATTGGTTTCGGGCCAAATCCTTCCTTTTTTTTTTCACGTTTCATCACCCGCACGAAGAGGCTTGATGCACCCACAGTCAAATCACCGAGAATTTCGCGATGAAAAACCCACGTCTCGTGTTACCGAGAGAAAAAAAAAAGCGTCGTTGCATCCGCACCACCGGGAAAAATAATACCAAGGGAACGCGTTACCCGAAGCGAGAGGGACCATATCTTACACGAAAACGCCGAGGAAAGCTGTCGCTCGATCCGCGCAGAGCCTAAATTAGTACGTATATATCAAGCGCGCGGGATATAACGACGGCCAGCTGTCGCCCCCACCGGGAGCTTTCTTTCTTGACTCCAGAGCTTTTCTCCATCCCTCCCACCCAACGCTAAGACGCCGGTGCAGGTGGTGGTAACGAATTGCAAATTAATAGCCGGCATTTACATTTTCCATCGGATGTATATATATATAGGTGAGACGACGACGCGTCATGCTTGCCTCCTGGATTTTCCGAGCTGTGTGTACGTGTGTCCTTTTTGCCGCCGCCTGCAGGAAGGAGATTGGCGCGTGATTAACCATTACTTTTGGCCCCTTGCCCGCGCAGGTGCGGAACACTAGGCGCGCTTAATCGCGTCCGATGGACGTATCGTTTCTCGGGGACACTGTACGTTAACGTTTTCTTTCTTTTGCGTCTGACCCCGTTTGGCTTTTTCTACTGATCCTATTTTTTTTTTTTTTTTCTTTCTTTCTTTTTTCAACAAAACTTTTACACAATCCACACTCTCCCCTAAAAAATCCAAGGAGGAACCTTTTAAATCACAGAACATCTAAACGATGACAGAGCACGCTTCGGGCAAAAAAGTTTTTTCCTCGTGAGAATCAATAATCTTGGGCTCCTTTTTTTTTACCGAGTGAAAAAAAAAGGCGCGCGTGTCGACTAATTGAGGGCGCGATCGGTCTCGGCGCGATATTGGATCCTACAGCGTCGATAAATCGCGCTTCGAGCCGGAGAAACGCGGAGGACCCCTTTTTTTCCTCTGTTCCCGCGACGCTAACGAAAGCGTTGGCGTGTGTACACAAGAAAGATCTGAAAGGACGCGACAAAGTGACTGGGGAGGAAAAAAAATGGTAAATGATCGGCGCGGCTGTTTTTTTTTTCGTCAAAGACAACGAAAATCGGTGAGAACGCGATCGGCGAGCCTTTGATGAAAAACCGTTACATCCAATCGGTGTACAAATTAGATTCATCATTTCACACGGCCGCAATCATAAAAGTATCTCGATGAATTACAAAAGACACACTTTGAACGATTTGTCGCGCCTCGCAATTGTAACAGCCGGCTGGCGCAAGGTAAACCTGCGCGGGATGTATATGAACAAGTGTGTGTACTCGTCCGAGTCCTAGAGACTCGCGATAAGAGGGAACGAGAAAAGCCCGGGTTCTTCCAAAACAACGGTATAATAATGTGTGCGCAAACACCTTTTCTTCGAACGAATTTACAGAGTTGCGCTCAGTATCTGCGCTCAAACGAGCCGGCGGTGCTGGAGGCCGTGGGACTGGGCAGTGGCGGGGCAAGCGGTGCCGAGGGAAGCGTCGAGTTTTTCGCCGAGCACGCGAGCAGTGGACCACCGGCAGCAACACCCAAGCACCACTATCCCGCCATGAGATCGGCTGGGACGACGGCGCACACGCCGGCCACCGCTGGACCGCAATTGGCTTACAGTCACGCGAGCAAGAGACGGGCGTCCGAGGCGCTGTGAGTATTTTTTTTTTTTTTTTTTTTTTTTTTTATGTCTTTTGTCGAAGCTTACTGTCCAGAGTCGGTTATTAAAATTTCGAACCATTGTCTTTAATTGTTGACCATTTTTACTGATACATGGCATTTGGGCTTTCAACGGTATGACGTTTAGTGGCACGTAGAAGCATTACTTTTATGTTAAGAAAAGCTATAAAAGATTGCGAAAAAAATAACCTGATCCAGCCATTCGAGAAGAACTGCACACCGCGTACGGAGGAAGATACACGTTTACCGTAAATCCCGAAAACAAATAGATACGCGAAAGAGGCTTGTTCAAAAAAAAAAAAAAAAAAAAACTCTCAGCTGATCCATACTTCAATTTTATTGCTTGCGCATGCCAACAGTATTTTCTTTGTACCTTATTCATAATGGCACTTTTATGCGTTACCTTAGCAATGGACTTTGAATTAATATTTAAATGATCGTCCCGGGCCTTCATTTGCAACCGGAGCAGCCCAGCTAGCGCAGTTTATACGTAAAATAAGAATTGTTCGTGAGAAAGATGGATTTTTAATTTTTCGTACCGTATACCTCGGTCGCATTTTCTTTTTTCATCATAGTTTCAAACATATTTGCAGCCATCATCGTCTGATATTTGCGTTGAAGGAAAAAAAAAAAAAAAAAAAAAAAAAAACACAACTCGACCTCTTTGTCCCGTTAACAATCGGTTAATTCAACGACCCGGCTGGAATACTCGAAAATACATGCACACATGTCACACCTCGCAAAACCCGTACGTACAGTACACTGGTTTCGAATTTTCAATCACACGAGTATACATACACCGCAGGTGATGTGTGTACGATAGCTGTCTTCAAAGTTGATTCAGCTTTCGAAAGCACAAAGCCAAAAGCTCGCAGCACCTGTTCAAACTGAAATTCCACGACGCTCCTCGCACCGATGAAAACTCGAGTCACACCAAACGCCAAGTAATCCCGAAATAAAAGAAATAAAAATGAGCAACTACAACGCCCCTTCTAAAACAAAAAAAAAATCTAAAGCTCGCTCCTACACGGGCGTGTTTGGCAAAGTTTGGCGGCACCACGTATCGCTGCGCACATACACCGTGTGCTTGCGCCCATTAAGAGCCGCGCGTGTGTATACACGAAAGAGAGAGAGAGACACAGCTGCGCAGCCGGGGTCCGATCGTAAATTAAAAACGAGCGGCGTTATATGAGTGCCATTATACGCACGGAGTGGTAGCCGTCTTCGACCGCGCGCGCGATAATTCAACACGGTTATGCCTATACATGTGTACGTACGGCACGTAGGTATACACGAAAAGAGAGCTTTTATACACCGTGTGTGCCAAGCCGCAGGGGCAGGGTGTTGGTATCGAGTGTGGATTATATTATATACGTTGCAGGCGCGTGTGCGTATTATGTGTCTTGCGCGGCTGTGAGTTGAAAAAAAAAAAAAAAAAAAAAACAATCCACAATTGCTATCTGGTTCAAAAAAAAAGGTAAACCACATGGAGCTGACCTTCATTTGGCTGGTGAACGAGTCGATCCTCCTCTCGACGAACTGCGGGTGGTGGCCGCTCTGGACGAGGATTTTCAGGCCCTGGACCCCGTCCGCTCGGCGTATACCACTGAAAACGATGTATCCCAATTGTTCTTTGGTCCGTAGGATGTTGAAGCACGGCTCGGATATGATTTGACTAATGAGCTCGAGCAGCATATTGCTCTCGGTCGACTGCATGCCGCTCTGGTAATAAACTTCCGTGCACGAGCTCTTGTGGTGCTTGTTTTCGGCCTCGTAGAGGTAGTGGCAGCCTGAAACCGATACAAACCATTACAATTACTGGCTTGACACCCTCGTGTGTGGGCTAGGGATGTCCGAGTGCATCCACTTGTATTATACGATTTTATCAACTCTGAATCAGATCATCATCCCAACTAGGATTGGTGCTTCTTTACATTCTTCAATTTATAGCTTTGTGAAAATTTTACCTATCTCTACAGTCATACCTGAAATTACGATTTCGTTTTGTCTCGATTCGCGTGATCGGAAGGATAAATCAGTTTACCGATTACAATGCGTAACGCAAAAGTCTGGAGGTACGGACCTTGGGGCAGTTGTAGTTCCCGGTAGGGTACCATCTGCCTGGGCAGTAGAGGCATCAGGTCCTTCACGCTGTTCACAAACTTCGACTCCACCAGCTTGGCGGTCTGGGAGGCTTCGCTCCTCGTTACGTTGCCGTGAATCAGGCACTCTATATGCATCTTACTCATAAACAGGGGAATGAACTGCTTCATCTTGTCGGCGGTCAGCACTGGACAATTGAAGGAAATATTTTTTTTTTAAAAAGTTGATTTTTTAAAGATATTAAAAAAATGACTCACTCGAGCAGGTGTTCAGCAACTCGTTTTTCACCCAAACGTGCTCGGACAAGAGCACAGCGAGGTAGTAGGCCGCGTGCTGGTACGGCTGCTCCGCTTCGAAGTTCTTGAGGCTTCTTATGTACTGTAAAAAAAAAAGGTGATTGTTTATTTTCTCGTTCAACTGCACAGATGCAACTTGGCAGGGCTTACGTTCTCCCTCCATATCTCGAATCTCTTCTCGTCCACCTCAAAGTTGACCATCCGCTCCAAGATTTTGTCCAACAAAGTGTGCAACTTGTGATCGTAGCCCGTTAAGCTCAACTGAAAAATGTCCAAAAAATTAAAAGGTGGGGAAAAAAAAACCAGAAAAGCTCTCGACAGTTGTGGTTAGTTTAATATCTCACGCTCATGCCGTGTTTGCTGTTGCTCAGTTCCCACTTCAACCCAGCCAAGCCCGCGTCGTAGGCGTACTCGTTCAAAGAATCCTTGAACAGTTGGGTAAACATGAACGTCAAGCTACAATTGATCGGGTCGATGTAGGCGAACGGGCTGAAATCACAAATCGCATCCACTTGTCAAACTCACTCGCCATCGACTACTTGATCCAAAAGTAAAAAAAAAAAAAAAAAAACTTCTCGAACGGCATCGCTTGCGCGCGTATATCGCAAAACCGTACAACGACCTCGCCCAGGTATACACGCGTAACAAAACAAAGGGGGAGGGGGTGAGTCGTGTACGTCCACAAACCGTGTGCGCAATGGCAAGGTCGCGGGCGAGTCGTGACGCAACCGCGAGCCGTGAATCGGCTCTTGTATAAATGCACCATCCTTCCGCTTTCTTCTCCCGGAGCATCACCTACACATACGTATACTTTATTTACGCCGTACAAACGCCTATATCTCGAGCTTCGATCTATCGCGCACCGATGATACTATTGCGGTGGTGGTGGTGGTCAAAGGGTCAGCGCCCCCCAACCCGTAGAATGTCCTCCCTAATGGGACCTCGTTCTCTCGGTGTATTTCCTCTAACGACGAGAAACGTTGCGGGGCTTTCTTCTGCATACAGCTTACGTATATCTATTGAGTGCACATCGCNGTACTTTGCAGAAACGCGGCTGCACGAGCCCAGCTTCTTCCTCCTCCTCCTCCTCCACAGCCAACGGTGGCAACCACCAGGCGACGAACGGCGGTGGGCCAGCGCCGAGCAACGGGAGCCTGGATTGCGGCGAGGGCACGTTCAAGCGGCTGTCGGGCGAGATTGTCGCCCAGACCATCCGAGCCACCGAGGATCGCGTAGCCGAGGTCAAGAGGCGAGCCGGTGAGGGATACGATAAAATTGACAGACACGGCCTATACCCGAGGGAACACCTTGGTGATTGAATTTTCACGGTGTTGCAGAGGAAGCGGTGCAGGAGGTCAAGAGGGCAGCGGTGGCGGAGGTGCAGAGGGCCGTGGCCGCCGCGATGGCGGAATCCCGAGCCAACGAGCGACTCCGGGGTCAGAGGTACCTCGAGGGACCGCAGCAGCCGAGGACGGGCCAAAAGCACGGCAGACCCGGCCCGTTTTTGAGACTCGCCGACGCGAGAACCGCCCCCGGGGCGCCCACGACCACCACGGGGGACGAGCCGGATAAGGACGCCCACCATTCGGGCGCTGTGGCCACGGTGAGAGATCCCTCGTGTTAGAAAGGTTACACGTATTATACGTATGCATGTACTGATGGATGAAAATGACCGAGCAGGGCTGCTGGAACTGCGGTAGACAGGCCCTGGAGACCTGCGGGGGCTGCGGGGTGGCTCGTTACTGCGGCTCCTTTTGTCAGCACCGCGATTGGGAGGCCGGTGGGCACCACGCGACCTGCAGCAGTACCAAAGCCAACGGCCCGGCGGCTGGTCAACAGCAGCAGCAAGATAGGGCCAGATCGTCGACGCCGAGCCCACCGAGGGCCGCCAGTGCGGCGAGTGACTCGGATCCGGCCTCGAACAAGCCAACCTCGACGATCAGGGTGACCAAGTGACAAAAGAGCAGGGCAGCCAAGGCCGCTGCGTAGAGATGATTCTCCAGTTTGCTGATATATGAATAATCATATTAATATGTTACATGTATACACGGGGCATGTGTGGCGGGTCTAGTCGAGCTTTTTGGCGAGGAAATCGGTTTATGGCTACTTTGGTACTACTGCCCTAGTAACTGGACTGTGTGTCACGCGGTTCGGGGATATGTACGTGATTGATCGCTTGTGGGAGAAAAAAAAAGAAAACATGATTCTCGGTAACAATCGGTTATTTCATCGTTTTATTAAGTTTGACTTCTAACCGAGTTAAGAATTATTTATACATACGCTTGGATACGTAGTTTCGCACGGCGAGTAGTCCTTTTTTTTTTATAATTTTAAAAATTTGTCTATAGTTGTTTTCGATGGGTTTAGTATTAAGAAGAGTAAAAAAAACCGTTGACGTACGCGCGTGTTTGTTTAATACAATTAATATATTATATAATATACACTACAGCTTGAACATTTTTCTCGAATCAAACTCTTTTTTCTCATCTAATAATCTTGTATCTCATGATTTCCAAAAGTAATTGGTGCTGCTTCAACTATGATGAACACTCTTTCTCGATACTGGTAGTTTTTCGCGTAATAATGTTACGTCGTACGTAAACAAATAGATATATATACACATATATAGTTTAATAATTATAAAAGTGCACCTCAATATCAAAGTTTTGCAAAAAGTCTTAAAAAAATAATCGTTTTCAATCATTATAATGTTAAAAAAGAAAAAAAAAATCGTAGCATTGTCAAATTCTTTTGCACTCGTAATGCACCAATTTCATTTTATCCTAGTCAACTGATAGATTTAGTGTACCTTCGCGTATAGGCACATTGTTAGTGTGAGTCAAAACCAATTATACTTGATTGCGAACGTAATTTTCAAGTCAGCTAATGGATACTATGCTTTGCATTATCATTTAAACTGCATTTAATTTACAATACAACTATATTTATAATGTACAGAACCGATAAATTTTTTAATGCAAATATTTTATATCAACGACTAAGTTAGGAAAGTTGCAATGATTTATTATTTATTTTATTAAAAATTTGGCGCTACTTGTTCACTACAAATATTCGTCCAACCAAAATATGATTTAACAAATGTAGATTTAAGAAAAACAAATTATAGAAGTAAGTCTAGTCACCAAAAATAGATTTTCCATTAATTTTATTAAATCGAATCGCTTTAACTATTGATACCTACCTGCAGCATATTTACATTGTAATGCAGTACTTATTCTTGACTTACAAAAATTTTTGAGTTTTAAGGAAATCACGTAATTACGATAAACTCATTTACAAATTAAAATAGATATTTTTCTCTTAACAAATGCATGGATACTTGAGGAGGATTTTATGTAGCTATCTTTTCGTCAAGGTACATTTTAACAATTTTATCGAAATTATGTAAGCACCAAAATTAATCAATACTGTGTAACAAATTCACAAAATACGATACAGTGTAACACTATCTAGTAATTTTACATTATCGTCAAATAAAAAAAAAAAGTTTTACGACTGCTATTGTTTTGCCTTTCCCAAAAATTCATCGACTACCTTAATTTTTTGTCCTTCCTTATCTTGGATTGCATTCTGATCGTATGGGCCATACCTCCACAAAAGTGTTGATTTCCAGATAAGACTGCATTGTACGAGTCTCAATTCATAATTAGACAAGAATTTGTCATTTTGCAGTTTTAAATGAATAAAATTCTTACAATTTTTTTTTTCAATACAATTTTTAATATACTTTTTTAATTTTTCAAGTATATTTACAAGTATCCTATTAAAAGATGCTTGCTTTGCTACCTCATAACAAAAAATCAATTCAAAATCACTCAGGTAATCACTAATCAATTTTTTCAATATCTCAATAACAGCGTTAAGTTTCCCTGACCTGAAACGCGAAAATCCAACTGTTCTTGTTTTTCTGCATATTTTTTATAGTTTCCCACTTCTCACTGTTTTCTTCGCAGTCTCAATAACCAGTTTTAGCAATTGATAGTTCACGATTCATTTGAAAACCAGTATGTTAATAAAGTCATTGCGTAAGTTGGATGGAATTTTTCTTTATCTGAGGAGGTCAAGCACGGCTTTTAATGTATAGCATAAAAATAGCTTTGCTTTTTATTTTTCCGGCTATTCTATAGATACTACAATAAAAAATGACATTTTATAAACTTATTGAAATAAATAGTACAATACGCCAAGAGGAAAGACATAAAAATTTATCGTGTTATTTTTATTTTGTAATTACTTATATAAATATTCATGAGTGTTTTCATTAATTTTCTTCTTACATTACGAGTGACCTTAATACGTGTATCGCGTCTGAACTAGCAAAAAAATTCAACGCATTCAGTTGAATGTAGCTGATCAAAATAACGCGTAAGTTTTTACATAATCTACAAAAAAAACTCTAAAAAAATATTAATAGATACGCTTCTATATCGAAACAACTACACCACTCAAGTAACAACGGTCAGTCGTGATAGACATTTTTATCATTAACGTTGATAGTTTTTCCGTGTAACCGTATAAAATCGTGCACTTTTCAAAAAAACAAATTATTGAAATTCGGGATTAACATTTATTGCGTTACCTTAAAGTGTATTTTTGAAGTGTACTATTCTCAATCAAATATTCTCGTGATATTTTTATTTCTCAATTGTTATTGCAGCGGTGAAACGAGTATCGAAATGATCATCACAATTTTAACCACATTATTTTTGGCAACACTGACATTTCATGTTGTGACACATTGCAATCGAAAAGGACGTTTACTAAGGAAGATACGAGGACTGCAGGAGTATCCGATCGTTGGGAACATGTTGACATTTAATACTAGGGACGTGCGTAAGTAATCATTAGTTTTATTGAGCATAAAAGAAATCATCATATCTCTTAATCAACAAAGAAGCAAAAAATGATTGTAAGCGAAAAATTTGATTGTATTATTAATTACGAAGTCATTCTTTTTGTTTCTAGTCCTTTGGCTTCACAATAAATTGCACTAATTAAACTAATAAATATGCATTATTAAATATCGATTTTTCTTGAAGAGTAATCTGCTCCACAACTACATTTATAATATAACGATACGGTCAGTGCTAAAAATTTCTATTTTTAGTGATCCAAGTACTTATTACGGGTATTAAATGAAGTAGCCACGTGAGTTCAAGAAATTTTTATTTGATTTCACTTTACTTTAGTCCGTTGAATGTTAAAACCTCGAAACAACGTTGATCGTTTTAAAAAGGTTACAATGGTATTTTAGTGCCCTGAAACAGTCACTAAACCAAAAAAACATTGTACGAAATATAACTATTTACTTGTGATTTCTGGAAAAATATTACTAATAAATTTTTTAGATTTTAAACACATGTAAATTTTTTTACACAAGTTTAAGCATATCGTGCTGTAATTATTGCTATGGTATTCCATACACTTAACATACTTTGTACACCAACATATACTTTTTCTCAAATACTTCAATGTTATTTTAGATTATATTTGGGAAAAAGGTCGACAAGTCGTCAAGGATTATTATCCCATCACCCGATTCTGGTATTTGTATTCCGCTTTAATAAGTGCCTCTCACTCCGAAGACTTGGAGGTACATTTCAGTTATAATAATAGAAAATAATTATATTTCTAATTACAAGTAGATTCAAATCTAGAATATGTTAATATATGTATTACACCGTTTGACTAAAAAAATTCATCATAGATTCTGCTCACTAGTCAAGAGGCTATTGAAAAAGGCTACTTTTATTGGTACCTCCAGTCTTGGTTGAAAACTGGATTACTAACGAGTACAGGTAAAAAAAAAAAAAAAAAATATCTTCCCACGCAGGTAACTCTTTTGGCAATTATTGAATTCATTCGCTTGTTTGTAGGTGATAAGTGGCGAGAGAGAAGAAAAATCCTGACACCTGCATTCCACTTTAACATTTTGAGAAAATATGTTGAAGTAACAAGCGAACACGGAGAAAAATTCATCAAAGGACTTAAAAGCGAGGGACGAGAAACTATGAAAAGCCTCATTCCACTTTTCTCGGACATAACTTTGAAAATTATCTGTGGTGAATTCATAAGAATTACATAAATCATTATCAATTTCATTATCTGTTAGCTCAATAAGTTGCAGTAGGTAATGCCCTGAAATCAACAACGCCACTGTCACGGTCCGGAAATACAAGAATTTTTAATCTATAATTATGTTAACAGATACCATAATTAACTAGAATTGTTATGGCGTGCGATACATTTATCGAGAATTTACTCTAATTCATAATTTTTTTTAAAGATTTTATTATGTACAGAAGCTAGTTATTTTTAACAAATAAAAATTTGTATCGCTTTAGTACTCTGAGTTACTATACGTAATCAAATAAACCACCACATTAAGTTTCATTACAATAATACTGTTTAAGACAAAGTTGTTGATGTTTTTATTTGCAGAAGCTTCGATGGGGATTGATTTAGATACACTGGATCAAGAAAAAGTTGGCAAATACAAGCAAGCAATTCATGACATAGGAAAAATTGTGCTATATAGGTAATTGTGTTATATGAAATAGTACTACAGTTTCAAAAAAAATTTTTGCTCATTATTTTTTTGCGTTACAACAGTATAGATATTTTTTTTTTACTTTGGCAAAAATACTAAGTAGATTTTGTGACTCGTGCATATCTCCTCCAGTTAAATTACTTTAAGCTCAAAGATTTTTGATAATTTTCCTAGGTATGTGAGAATCAGTAACGTATCTTTTTTTTCGCAATAGTGTGCGGAAAGTGGGTGTTTTCCGCACTGGTATTAGTGTGGAAAATCGATTTTCCCACACAGTGTGCGACAAAGGTGTGCGGCAAAGGTTTTTCCGCAAAGTGTGCGGAAAAGGTGCGTGGCAAAGGTTTTTGTCGCACAGTGTGTGGAAAAAGTGTGCGGCAAAGGTTTTGCCACACACCGGAAAAAATTTTGCTACACACTGGAAATCAAAATTCAAACCTATTTTGTACCTATTTTCCTCACACATTGCGAAAAAACTTGTACGCAACTCGTGCGAGACGATTTCCCGCACTCGTGTGATAGACTCGCACTCGTGGCCGGTGACGGTAACTCGTACCTTGCGATCACACTCGTGCTACGTACGCACTCGTGTGCTCAACTGGTACTCGTTCCCGTCAACTCCGGCACTCGTGTGAGTCAATCACTACTCGTGCGGGAAATCGTCTTTTCCGCACTTGTTACGTAAATAACTATTTCCAACGTAGGGTGCAACCAACATCCAAAAATAGGAGAAACTCTCAATGTAGGAATAATAATCGACTACTTTAATTCGATACTAAATTACTTATTGAAAACTAAAACAAGACTTAATTTGGAGTAAACTAATTGATAAAGAATATAAAATTTTACAGGGCGATGAGACCTTACATTATAAATCTAATTTTCCCTTACACACCAATGGGAAGGTTAAGCAAAAAAACTCTTGAAATACTCCACGAGTTTACAGATGAGGTACTTATTTAACATAACTTTTCATTACATTTTACATGTTGTATCGAATATTACATTAGGTTTATTCGAGATCATTTTCATTTTTATTTTAAATTAAGGAAACTGAAAATAAAATACAAACGATCGACTTAGTTTTACGATGAATTATATGTTTTGCTTTAAAAAAATGTAGATCTCGATTTTTTTTTTCTGTGCATGAGTACTAGACGCATGACTTTGATTACATATATCATTCGAAAATCCTATTAAAAATTATAAGATAAAAAAATTGCGTTATCTGTACAGCTTAAAATTATTTCATTTCATTCAATTGTCCCAGATAATAAGAGAACGAAAAAAATATCACAAAAGCACAGGAAACAAGTTCTTGGACGAAAACAATGACGAAGTGGAGGACAACGTATTCGATGACGTTCATATAGGTAACAACAAAATTACGAAATTTATTGTCAGTTATGAGACCTGAAGAATTTTTTAGGCCGCAGAAGAAGATTGGCTATGCTCGATTTGCTCTTCGCAGCTGAAAAAAAAGGATTGATCGACGATGCCGGCATCAAAGAAGAAGTTGACACCTTCACATTCGAAGTAAACAACATATAATTGCTTAAGATGCACCATTTCACGCATCATGATTTATTGTAGTTTAAGATACTAATTGAGTGCTCGTTTGAACTATTAATACATTGGTATCTTATCAGGGTCACGATACCACGTCAATGGCCATGACTTTTATAGTGATGCAATTGGCTGAAAACAAGGAAGCACAAGTACCTACACTCGTTTCTTTCCGTTTTCTCGTACATTTGGATTAAAATTGCAGAAAAACCTTACATCGATAAAAATGATGATTTTTTCCAGGACAAAGCCAGACTGGAAGTGACCGAGATCATGAACAACTCCAGTGGCAAGCTGGGAATGACGGAAATCCAGAAAATGGAGTACTTGGAATGTTGTATCAAAGAAGCCTTGAGGCTGTACCCTCCAGTGGCGACGATTGCAAGATACATATACGATGAATTGCAACTAAGTAAATAAAAATTTTATCTAATCATCGGTATCGGTACCCATTTTCTAAAAGTATAATTTATGATATTTTTTTTCATTTTTCAGAAAATGCTCGTTTGCCAACCGACTCTCATGTACTAATTAATTTTTGGGATACCCACAGAGATCCGAATTTCTGGCCTGATCCTGAAAAGTTTGATCCTACCAGATTTACCCCTGAAAATTCTCGAAATCGACATCCTTTTTCTTATTTACCTTTCAGTGCTGGGCCTCGCAATTGCATAGGTTTATCTTTTATTATTTTTTTTTTTTTTTTGTTTACTGACAAATAAAATGTATTGTTTTTTAAATGCTCATCTTGTGGATTTTTAGGTCAAAAGTTTGCCATGATGGAACTAAAATTACTAACGGCCCGAATTTTGTACGACTTTTACCTCGAGCCAGTTGATCGAACTGCAGATATGAAAATTATCGCCGATTTAATGCTGCGACCACTCGATCCAGTTCACACAAAATTTATTCAAATTAACAAATGATACTTTTTTTTATTTTTCGATATAATTTTCATGCAATTCACTATTTGCAATAGATCATTACACTAGGAGTGTGTTTTAAAAATTTACAGAGATACATTGATTACAGAATTAAAGAGAACGTATACTTATAATTGATGTGTTTTAGAAATATATTTATTTTAAATAATTCATTTTTCCATACCTAATAAATTTATCAAGTTTGAAGTAAAATAAAAATAAATTTTACAATTTAATTTTATGAAACTCAACTTTTGAGTTTAATTCTAAGTTACTTTTAACAATTAAATAAATTAATTGTGTCATGACTTCGAAATATCGTTAGTAGTTTCAAGGATTTTTAGTTCCAAAAAAATGATGTAATTCATGACAAATGTGTTTGAAAAAATTCTATATTTCTTTCAACAAGTATAGTAATTACTATAACTTACAGCTGCACATCTTTACTTTATATTTCAACAATATTATTGAAATAGGACTTACGATTTGACGACAGTTCAAGTCACATCGAGCCACGCCAATATAATCGAAATATAATCAAAGCTGAAAAATCTTTGAACATTGTATAAAATTTACAAAATATGGTACAAAGTAAAACTAATCAATGATTTACTATTATTCAAAGTATAAAGGAAGTGTTTTACGATTATTTTTTTTTCACATCTTCCAAAAATTCAGCTGCGACTTTAACCTTTTTGTCTTTTTTAGCTGACTCTTTTGCTTGTTCCTCAGTCCAAACTTTTTTATTTTTAGAATAAAGTTGTACATTTAATTTTGTATATATTAATCGGCCAGCATTAGTTGACATAAGCAACTGTCCCACACTGCATAATTCATCCATCATCGCATCACGTTGATTGGACTTTGCCCACTCCCATATCCTGTCCAAACATCTGGATCCATGTGTACTTCCTGCCAGTTGGACCCAAGTACCCCTCAGATTTTTAAACAGCTTTTCACGACTCTTTTCACCAATGTACTGACTTTGCATAAACGCGTCCATTATCCTACTTCCTTTTGGATCTTCAAACATTTTCAGCAAATCTTCTGTACTCATTCCTAACAACGAATTCACGACTTTGATTGGTTTGTTGAAATTCAATATCGATTGCAGTATCAAACTGCCATGTAGATTCAATGGCACTTTACTCTTTGAATCATCTTTACTCTTAAAACTGTCATACTCATCAAAAGTTTTAAGTGTTACTACTAATGGTACAATGAGAGTTTGCCTATCTTTTGGCTCTTCACAGTGCAAAATCTTAGTTATAGCATTTACAAAGGGTCCTTGCTTTGCATGCAATCTACAGCAAGCACTTGCTAAACTGGCCAACACACCAGTGTATCCTTTTTTAAGGATAGCCTCAAAGTGCTCTACGATCTCGTCAAACAATTTCTCTAAGAGTTCTTTTGAGTGACAGTGTTCAAATAATCTTTGCACGCAAAAGTTTGCACTCCCCATAACAGACAACCTACCAATATGGTTTTCAAAAAAATTTTCATAAATATTTGTAAAGTCTTTGGGATTTGAAACTACAATGCAAGCTTCTAACAGTCTAATAGAACATTCGCTAAAAAAAATATTCGATAGATTGTTTCCCTCGCTTTTGTTGTAGCTAACTGTACATATTTTGTCTATCAAAGAACTATTTAAATCTGAGTCAATGTCTTTTAAGGTGTACAACACTGACTGTATAAAATTAGAAGTCAAATCATTGTGATTGTACTCTTGAAATTGTGGAAAATTCATAAATCTTTTACAGGTTGTTTTTAAGAGATCAACGTATTCATCTAGCACCTGTCTTCGGTTTTCTAAACTTGGACCAGACTTTTTTTTACTATTATTACTACCGCTATCACTAAGATCAATAAGACCACCAAGGCACTCAAAAACAGTTCTTAGTATATGATTGGCATATGTATCCCAAATAAATTCTTCAATATTATTGATGGTGTATTTACACAGCTTCAAGGCAATCTCATTATACTTTTGTTCCTCTGCATATTTAACTTCCTGGTCTTTTTTTTCTACTTCTGTTAAATTTCCTCTGTGAGCACAAACACACAATAATTTTTCCAAAACATGTGATGCATATCTATCGCTACAGAATGGCCTCAGTGACTCTTTAAAAGAATCAAATAATCTAACGATTGTTTGAAAATTGGCGTATTTAAGTAAAGTTTCAAGAACAATAGAGCCCACCTGAAATAAAAAAAGGACAATCATGTTAAAGTAACTATAAAACACTATCACTTCATGGGCTCTGTAACAAACAGCACAAGTGATACCTGATTTTTCGCAACGTCAACTTCTTTGCCAATTGTTTGTTCGTAAACGTTGTCAACGAAAATCTGCTTTTCTTCCATTTTCGGGAATTCTTTGCGAATAACTTCCATGATTTGGACGAGGTATTGATAAGTTTCGGAATCAAGTTCACCGTGATCTCGTTGTCGGGCGAATTTCTTTATCGTTTCCGAGGCACAATGCTTTCGTTTCCTTTTGAAATTCTTTTTAGGTTTATGCTCTTTATTATCCATGATTAATTTAAAAAAAAACTACTTGTACGAGTATTGAGTAAGTTGACACTACACTTATTAAAAAAACTATGTCAACGATTGTTGTGTAAATAAACACATAACCTTTTATTCGATTCGAAGTTGTGAACATGTGGTCAAGAAACAAAGATGCAGATGCAGCCCGCAGTCGGTACAATACAACAGCTGCAACTTTCAGAGATCCGCGCCATCTAGCGGACGGTTATTCGTGAGAAAACTCGTAGCTCCGAAACCCTACGGACGTTTTTGTATTTCGGATGACGAAGAAAAGTTCAACTCAGATTTCACTATGTAAAATGACATGGAAAAATACGAGCTGTGCTTTTTTTCGTCCACCGTAAAAGTCATCGCTGATTGGCTCTACCATTTGCAGACGGTCAAATTTGTCAGTGGACAATATCTCATATTACATGCAAGAGCGAAGGCCGCCGACGAAGTCCGATCACGCCCGAACAAAAAAAACGTCCGTAGGGTTTCTGAGCCACATGTTTTCTCGGGAATAATCATCCGCTAGATGGCGCTGATTGATTCTTAACTGACCAACAATATACACTTTAATGTTAGAAATTCAATTAAATTTAAAAAGAATTATCTACTGACAACATGTCCACGACGTCGAATGAGAGGTTAAGTGTTTATTTGTATAAAAATGTTGTTTAACTTTGTTTTTTAATACTGATTCGATGGCAAAAATTTACTAGCGTCAGTATACAGCTGAGATTTTAAATATTACACATTGTTACGTGGGAAAGAAATGTATTAAATATATTTTAAGTAACTGATCGACTTTTGCATGAGAAAATTTGAAAAAAAAACACTTGATTTTCAAGTAGAAAAATTTTTATTGCAGTTTTATTTATGTATAATTAAACCTATGTACACTAATCGATTACTTTCAAACTGAAAAGGAGATCTTGCAAGAACTACAAAAAACGTTGACATTATTATTATACATCATATTAAAATAAAAAAATTCCTTTTTTATTAAATGTTACAATGATAAATATTGTTCTCAAAACTTGTACATTCGAATAAAATTTATTTAACAGTTTCTATGATGTGTGCAGAAAAAGCAATTATCTTTATTTAAAGCTAATTGTCCTTTTATTATGTATGAACAAATTTTGCACAAAAATATATAAATATATATTGCTATTCAAGTTTAACTCGAAGAAAACCGTTATAAATCACAGAATCTAATGTTAAACTAAACTTTACAAAAAATTTGAACTAGTTTGTCTCTTATTGTAGGCTCCCAACATATAATTGTTAAGTATATCACTTGTTTGGAACCCTGACGATATTATTCGTTATCTTAGGAAAATCTCACGAAAACTTCAAACATTAACCTACATTAATCTTATTGTTACAAAAGGCAGAAGAACTCTCTTCGGAAGGACAATCTTCTGAGATTTACTTGTTGAAAGTAAAATTTACATTAATCGAACCTTCTTTTGGTATGCTACAATTTTATAATAACAATAATGAAAAAATAGTAAGTTACAAAAACGGAATATTCCAAAAATAGCTTTTTTGATCATTGGTGTCACTGTCAACGAGTGCCGTATGAAAGTTAAGTTTATGTACTCGCGTCTCAAGAAAATTGTCCTCGTAAAAGCGCTTCTTTGGAACTCACTAGCCGTCAATATCTACCTTATATCGATAGGAAACTGGAATTTCGTTCTAAATCAAATGCATAGCTATGAATGTAATAGTAAAAGCTCAGCTTTCTAAGTATCAACTAGCATGAGAACCACTGATTTCCGAGTCTATCACGAAACTCTCAGTCAGTCACGCGATCGGTAATCTAATTTATTGTAATTCGTTTAATTTCAACATTCCCAAACGTAACGCGAGTCAATAAGAAAAGAAAAAAAAAAAAAAAAAAAAAAAAAAAAAAAAAAAAAAAAAAAAAA